TTACAATGTCGCCCCCCAAATGCCAAATAGTATTTCCTCCATTAACCAAGTTAAGCGCATCAAAGTATCTAAGTACGTCAACGCGTTCGGATACGCGAAATTGTTTTCCTCGCTGTTGCCTTTGTTTTTCCTCAAAAAGTTCAATTGGAAAAGTGAAAACAATAACACCAGCCAGTTGATGGCAACAATAGCTGGCTCATTCCCATTGCTTGCTTTGCAGGATATTGGCAAAGCATCTCTTGAAATCTTCTATTCCTGTCAAGGATGTCTTTTTTTGGCTGCGAATTTTCATTGCCTTAATTTGAAAATTGTATCGAAATTGCCAAGAATTTTACTCCTGTTTACTTTTCGCCCCCACCCCTATTCCACCAACTTGTGGGTGTTGTTTTGCAATAGCTTTTTTTTGGATTTTGTTGCTGTTTGAAAACAATACCCTGATTAGTTGCCAAACTTAAGTATTTGTTTCTTTTTTTTTCTTTCTTTCGTTCATTTTCTTTTGGATGCATTCGTTAGTGAGGATGCTGCTCTGCTCTTCCATTGGCTTCCATTGAAAATTTGCCATTGTCATTGTTGTTTTTGCCACTTAAGATTGCGTCTTTTGTTTTGCTTTCCGTGGAAAAGTGTTTTGCGATTATTGTCACGCCTTTTATTCGATGCTCTTTTGTTCTTAGTTTTGAGTGTTGGTAGATTGTTTTCAATATCTCTTGAGTGTAGAGGCGTCATCGTTTATTGTCTACTAAAAATGCCAAAACTTAAGTTTTGCCAATAAATGTGATGGGGGGAAAATGTCCTTTGGAGGGAATTAGGTTTTTTCTCTCTCTCTTCTTTTTAGAAATATATGTGTGTATTAATTGCAGGGATGGGATGTAAATTATTTCTGAAATATCTTTTGTTATGCAGTAACTCAAAATCATTTTTTTGATCGGTTTTTTTTTTTTTGTTAATTTTTCAACTGAATTGATCGCTAAAATTGAAATCTACATCAAAGCCATCGAAACCTGAGTCTGAGGGCTCAAGGCAAGGTTCAACTCTTGATTTTTACGTGAAAAAGATTTTTTTTGTTTACACCCACAGCCTTATTTTTTTTTCCAATATGCGAGTGTTTTGAACCCATGCCTCAGAACGTTTTTTTACGACATTTGGAGTCGCCATTTGTCTCTCTGGCACAAAAACTCTCGAAGGTAATATCAGATTTGTACTTAAGTTAAAACATCGTAACATTTCTATGAAACTTATATTGAGTTCGAAGATCGTTCATGTTGGCCCATTCCTGATATCCATCCCCCGCCCCTACAAAAGGTGCACCATTTTTGGTCGGTTTTACCGAGAGGTGTATGCTCTCAACCTAGCTACCACTTACAGAATTCCAGGTCTATCGGTTCGCCCAAATCGAAATTTTAACAAATTTAGTACCATTTAGTACTTTTCATGCACTTAAGTACAAATTTCCTCCATATCCCAATCCTACACTCCGCCAGTAATGTTAATTTCAAATTTCTTCTAATTCGAATTGTACTAAATTTAGTACCGTTTAGTACTTTTCGTATACATGAGTACACATCTCCAAAACTACCTCCTTACATCGACCCTACTCCTCAACCTTGATTCCCATTCCAAATTTCTAGTTTTTAGCTCTAATCGTTCATATGATACGAAATGGTACCTTTGGTACATCTATCATACACTCCATTAGTGACCCGCATTCCAAGATCTAGCACAACTACCTTTTAATACTTTTCGTACAGTTTTAGTACGAATTTCCGAAAATCCAGCCCTATCTGACCCCTTCGGACCATGAATGATACTCAGCCAAAATTTCTAGAAAAAATACATATTCACATCAGGTCTCTTGTTGACTGAAACATTACGATATATTTAGTTTAAAGAGCATTACTAACATGTTCCGCAAGCGAAAAACAAATATAAAAAATGTTAACCCTTTGTGGGAAGTGTACCTGAAGGAGTTGTTGGCTATATATGCCAACATCCCACCAGATCAAAATTGTGAAGCCTTTGTGGGTGATGAACCCAAAGGAGTGGTCCGTCATAGCTCACATTCAAACCCGATTCGATGTTGTTAAAAATATTGAGATGAACAAAGTTTGAAAAGAAGTGGATGCCAATTTCGCATGTATGAGTTTCATAATTTTTCAAATTTTTCACCCGTTTGTGGGGAAGGTACTAGAAGAAATAGACCGATATCTACCTTGTTCATACCGGATCTTGTGTTGGCAGAAATATTGAACTGTGAGTAGTTTAGAATGGATACAATGCTTACTTCGCATGATATGACCACTTTGCTTATTCAAAATTTTGACCGCCTTGTGGGGGAGGTACTAGAAGGAATGGACCGATATCTACCATCTTCACGCCAGATCTTGTGTTGATAGAAATACTGAGATATGTGATGTTTAGAATTAATCCGTTGTATACATCGCATGATATGAGTGTCGAAATTTTTCAAAATGTTGACCCCTTTGTGGGGGAAGTACTAGAAGGAATGGACCGATATCTACCATCTTTGCAACAGATGTTGTGCTGGTTGAAATATTGAAATGTATGAGGATTAGAATGAAACCAACGCATACGTGGCATGATATGAGCGCTTTGGTTATTCAAAAATTTGACCTCTATGTGGGAGAGGTACCAGAAGGATTAGACCGATATCTACCATCTTCACACCACACCTGTTTTGATAGAAATATTGGGATGTGTGAAGTTTGGAATTAATTCGATGCAAACTTCACATTTTATGTCCGCTGTGGTTATTCAAAATTTTAGCCCCTTTGTGGGGGAGGTAATAGATGGAATAGACCGATAGCTACCATCTTCACAACATATCTTGTGTTGATAGAAATATTGAGATTTGTAAAGTTTAGAATAAATCCGATGCATTTTACGAGCGCTTTGGTTATTCAAAATGTTGACCCCTTTGTGGGGGAGGTACCAAAAGGAATAGACCGATCTCTACCAACTTCATACTGGATATTGTGTTGGCAGAAATATTGAGACGTGTAAAGTTTAGAATGAATCCGATGCATACCTCGCATTTTATGAGCGCTTTGGTTATTCGGAATGTTGATCACTTTTGTGGGGGAGGTACCAGAAGGATAATTCCGATATCTAGCATCTTCACACCAAATCCTGTGTCGATAGAAATATTGGGATGTGCAAAATGTGAAGGCAATCAGACTTTTATTTCAGAGTTTAAAAATAATTCAATTATTTAAAACATCGACCTGTTGTGGCGGAGGTACCAGATGGAGTAGGTCGATATCTACCAACTTTACACCTGATCTTTTGCAACAACAAAATGTTTGAAATTAAAAAAAATCGGACTCTTATTTCACGTTTTGTATGAGTTATAATTATTCTATATGTTGAGCCTTTGTGGGGAGGTACTTAATAGAGTTGACCGATATTGTCCATTTTCGCACCTGACCTTGCAGTGGTGCTAATATCATTATTTGCAAACTGGGAGTAAACTCGGAGTATCCTTTCACTTTCTGTGTAGTAAATTTTTTTCTTTTGAAAATGTCGACATTTCGTGGAGGAGCTATTTGTAGGAGTGGACCGATATTGGCCATCTCCGAACTCTGTATAAGTTTGACGGTAATATTTCAATGTAACAAGTTCGGATCAAATCGGATACTCCCTTCGAGAGTTATCGTGCGGACCACACAAACTGACTGACGGACTGTCAACCCTAGATCGACTCCAAATATCCTGAAACGAATTTGGCCCAAAGAGAGTTAGGTTCTACAATCGTTATTTCGATGAGGCATGCTATAGATATATGAAATGGTATATACCCTCTGGAGCCATATGGCCAAACTTGGAACATGGTAATTATAATATTTAAGTCGAGTTCGGAGATGGGCAATATCAGTCCACTCCTTCCTTTTCCCACAAAGGGTCAAAATTTGAAATATACTAGTAGATCAGAAAACGCGATGTTAACGCCCGATTCCATTCAGACTTGGCACATCTGAATATTTCTATAAACTGAGCATAAATGGTATAAATGGTGGAGATCCGACCAATCCGTCTGGTACCTCCCACACAAAGGGTCAAAGTTTTGAATAACCAAAACGATTACAAAATCCGGAATATGTCTCTGGGATAAAGATGCCACATAGGGTTCAAGATTTTGAAAAACAAATTTCACACATACATACATTTTTGCTAACACAAGATCTGTTGTGAAGATTATATATATCTGCCAACCACTTCTAATACCTCACCCACACAGGGTCACAATTTTCTATACTTCAGCGATTTCTTACTACTTGCTATATCTGAATATTTCTCTCAACCAGAAACCGGAGATGAATATGGGATTTATAATTTCGCATAAAATTGGATAATAATGTTGATTTTCATGGCTGAGGGTATACATCTGTCGGTAAAACCGACTGATACTTCTTAACTTGTTCAAGGTATAATTTATTCATTTTTTTTTTTTTAATTAAGTTCTCTATGACAATATATTGTAGGAATTTCCATTTTAAAGTATTTTACTCTTAATTTTTTTTTTCCAAAATGTATTTTCTAATACCAAAGTTCTTTTTTATTCAATCTCCTATCACTGGTTTGCCATTCCTGTATTGCATTGCTTTGGTCTCAATACCTTTTCACACTTTTGCGAATTTTCGTGCGACAAAAACTTGTCAAACTATTCAAACAAAACGTAACGGAAAAGTATTGAAAGAAACTTTATTTTTATCCCCCGAAAAATCCATTAACAATAAAGTCAATAACAATGTGGAACATTTCAGATAACATTGGAGAATTCTCCGAGCAGTAAATTGAAAACTTTTTGAAATTATCCATGGCAACAGCAGCCAAGTAAAGATTTTTGGTGTCCATTTGAAATACTACCACAATGTCCAAGAGAGAGAGAGAGGGAGAGAGAAATTTAATAAAATGCAAGATTAAATTTTTTGTATATTTTTATTAATCTGCTATTCTTTTTTTTTTTTTGTGGAACTTTCTTACAGGTAAAGACGAAAAATCCTTTGCCATGTACATCGATCGCCAGCGTTCATGGTTCCAGCATAATTCGGTGCATGAGCGACGTGTCGAGGGTGGCATCAGCACGGGCAGCACCATTGGTGTGCTATTGAATTTGGAACGGCATACATTGAGTTTTTTGGTTAATGGCATGCCTCAGGGTTCCATTGCATTCCGTGATTTATATGGTGTATTTTATCCGGCTGTGAGTATTAATCGCGGTGTTACCCTAACATTGCACACGGCCTTGGATGCACCACAAATGGATTATTTTTGAATTAAGAAAGGCAAAGGAGGAGGTGGAGGATAACTGAAATGAAAAGGAAACCGAGGAAGAAGAAAATGTTCTCTGTAAATATTTGTTTAATTATAAGGTTTGTATATTGAGTGTGTTTTTTATCATTGATGAAAATCGTATATATATTTAAATGTTTATTATTATTATTATTATAATTATTATATAGTTGGTAGTAGTTACATATCTAAATTAAAAATAATAATATAATTGAAATTGTGTAGTGGTGTTAGGTACAATGTCTAAGAGATTTATGAAAACAAAAAAAAAAATTGAAAGGGAAAGGTAAAAAATATTTCATTAAATGATGAGAACAGAACTAGAACCGAAAATCAAAGTTTAGTATAAATTCTTAGTTTGTAGTAGCAAGGAAAAAAATTAAAAAAGAAAACCCTTATTCAATACAGAGCGAGTTGGACGTTCTAAACGTCAGTTCTATTTTTCTTTAAAATAAATTAAAGAAAAATTATAGAGGAAAAAAGAACGGAGGGATGTCACAAATAAAGGGATTATTTAGATGTAAACCAAAATAAACCAGAATGGGAAGGAAATTCATTTTTCAAAATTATATCCAAAAATTGTTCAAACTAAAAAAAAAAAAAAAAATATATATATATATATATATATATATATATATATATATATATATATATATATATATATATATATATATATATATATATATATATATATATATATATATATATATATATATATATATATATATATATATATATATATATATATATATATATATATATATTTTAATTTTCACCTTTAAACATAGAAAAATTTTTTCTTTAAATTTTGAACCATGTAATTTTTAAAAACTGAATTTCCCCACATCATTGACATCCCATTAAAAATAGTCACTAATTATAATAAATAACATTTAAATGCTTAATAGAAAAAAAAACGCTTGAAAAAAATTAATAATTCAAATATTGTATAAATAAATCATTTCAAAAACTTTTCACTTAAGCCAAATAAAATCCAATAAAATATATTATAAATATATATAAAAATTATAAAAAAATGACAACAACACAAAACACCAAAAATTATGGACAACATTTTTAAAACACACACAGAGCTGTAAATAGAAATTATTAAAAATTATACTAAAAAAATTAAAAAAAAAATATTTAAAAAATCATATAAATGATTACAACGTATCACCAATGCATTTAAATCACCCTTCACGAGATTCAAATCAAAAGAAAAGGAGACAATTGTAGTAATCATATGCTAGAACTATCTTGTAACATAATTTTCAAAAAAAGTGGGGTTATGGTTGATTTTTTACAAAAATGTGCAAGTTTTCAAAAAAAAAAGAAAAATAGGAAATTTTTTTTAAAGGAAGTAAACAATTAGCCTTTATTGGATTGAAAACTTCTAAAAAAGTTCGAGCAATAGAATAATTTAAACAGCTTTAATCGATCTTTTATGGAGAGGAAGTTTTAGAAAGCTGTTCTTAAAGATATAAGTTCTTTCAAAGCTTTTGTTTATATATACCACTTTTTAAAGTTTTTGTATAGGTGAAAGAGTTTTCAAAGCTCCTCTTTAAATATAGGATTTTTTAATGCTCTTTAAAATACCTTTCACATTTTTGGTAAATAAACGATTTTTTAAGGCTCTGCTATAGGTAGAAGGCCTTTCAAGGCCCTTATAGAAATAATTTTCAAAAATCTCATGTTCATAGACCTTTCTAAGTTCTTCTGTACATAACATGCAAAACTTTAAAAAGCTCATCTATAGACAGAAGACCTTTAAAGCTCTTCTCTTATATAGAAAAATACCTTAAAACCTCTTCTGTAGATGTAAGGACCCAATGATAGAATAATAATAGAAGGCCTTTTACAGATAGAAGGCATATCAAAGCCCTTTTGTATATTAAATAGCTTTAGAAGCTTTTCTGAAAATGAAATACTCTTCTGCTCTTCTGTTCATAGAAGCCCTTTCAAAGCTCTCCCTTCTATAGGTAAGATAACTTTTAAAAATTTTCTGTACATAGAATGTATTTCAATGCTGTTGTATTGATAGTAGACCTTTCACAGTTCTTCTCTGGAAAAAGTCATAAAGCTCATATATAGACAGAAGACCTTTTGAAGCTGTTCTATCGATGAAAGTCAATTCCCGTATTTTTTATATAGAAATGCCTTTAAAACCTCTTCTGTAGATAAAAGACCTATCAAAGCTCTTCTGATGAGAGAAGATCTTTCAAAGCTCTTATATACATGGAAGGCCTATCAAATCGCCTCTGTATATTAAATATTCTTCTTTCAAAGTTTTTATTTATGTAGATGACTTTTTAAAGTCCTGTATAGGTAAAAGAGCTTTCAAAGCTCCTCTAAAGATAATAGACCTCCCTTTCAAGGCATTCTATTGGTAAGATTACTTTCAAAAGTCTTCTGTACATAGAATAAATTTCAAAGTTTTTATATTGATATTAGACCTTTCACAGTTCTTCTATACATAAAAGACTTTTTAAAGCTCTGGGAAACATTTTTGAGACTTCTATAGACAGAAGAGTTTTTAAAGCTCTTCTATCGAAGAAATCAAATCACCTATTTTCAATATAGAAAATATCTTCTGATGATAGAAGACTTTTCAAAGCTCTTTTATATATAGAAGAGTCTTCTCTATATAAAATACCTTTAAGAGTTCTAGCGATGAAATACCTTTGAAAGTTCTTTTATAGATAGAAGACCGTTCTATATGTAGGTAGACGATATTTAAAAGCTCTTCTGTAGATAAACGAGCTTTTAGAGCTCATCTAAAGATAGATGAGATGTTAAAGCTCTCTTGGATGAGTATGGATGGATGTATGGATGAGCTTTTAAAGCTCTTCTATAGATAGACGATATTTAAAAGTTCTTCTATAGATATACGAGCTTTTAGGCAGTAGATATTTAAAAGCTCTTCTATAAATAAACAAACTTTAAGAGCTCTTCCAAATATATATGAGTTTTTAGCTCTGAGTTCTTCTGAGTATAGATGAGCTTTTAAAGCTCTTCTATAAATAGACGATTTTTAAATGCACTTCTATAGAAAGACGAGCTTTTAAGGCTATTCTATAAATAAAATTCTTTTCAAGGCTTTTCTATACGTTTATGATCTTCATCATCTCAGTTCAGTTTATCCATAGAAGATTTTAAATATCTTTTATAAATGTAAGATATTTTACAAATCATCCATCGGCAGAATATTCTACAAAGATCTTTAAAAGCACTTTTATAAGTAATTAGCTTTCCAAAGCCCTTCTACAGGTAGTAGACCCTTTTAAATCCCTCTTGAAGATCTGCCAAGTTTATTTCGTAGACAAAAGATATTTCAAAGCTGTCTTATGGAGAGAAGATCATTAAAACTTGTTTGTATTTTTAGAAGACCTGTAATAATAACTTTTGTGGATAGCAGATCTTAATAAATGGACTTTTAATAGATTTTCCGCTCTTCTCTAGAAGCAAACCTTTAACGCGTAGAAGACCTTTAGAGAAAAGTTTATGTGTAGATGATCTTTCAAAAGCTCCTCTATCCATAGATATTTCAAAGCTCTCTAAAATAAACTGGATTCTCGTAAGCTCTTTTATCTACACAAATAATAAAAGCTTAAAAAATAGCTTTTCTCTATATATCATATTTATAAAGGTCTCCAACAGTTGGATTTTAAAGATATTTTAACTATAGAAGACTCTTTAAAATTTTCACTCTATAAGCTATTTTCAATGCTTTCCTACATATAGAAGATCTACAAAAGCTCTTTTTCGATAGCAGGCACTTAAAAACTTCTCTCGTTTGAAGTTTTTTTTAAAGCTTTTGTATATGTAAGTGACATGTCAAAGCCTTTTTAAAGTTTAGACACTTTCCACTGTCATATCAATTTCTATCCAAAGGAAACATCTTAATTTTTTATATTGAAAATAGACTTCCTCCAATACTAAGATTTCTCTAGTTTTAAAAATTTGCCATAACCTTTATTTTTGAAGTAGAGTAAGTCTATTATGAATATAGCTACTGTATCAGTCGGGACTTTTTCGGAATAAAAACTGTAAATATAAATATATTAATTTAATTTTTATTTTTCATAATTCGACTGCCGCCATTAAAATTCAAAGAAAAATCCACACTTTTAATAAATCTCGATGTATATCTTATAAATATTTTTGAATTACGATTACCAAATGTCTTTTTTGCAAAAAAATCCTTGCATGTGTGTGAAAAAAAAAATATTATTTCAAAAAATTTATTTCCACAAATTCATTTGAACTTTATTCAAAAAAAGCTCTTTTAATAAACAATTTAGGCTACCTTTTAAAATTAATTATTTTTATATTTATTTATAATATCCAAAGCAAAACAAACAACCATGTTAATAAAAAAATTAAAAAATTCAAAACCTTTTTTATACTAAAATTAATAAAAAGAAACAATATAATATCCCCTTAAATAAAATATAAGTGTTAATAATATTTTGTAAATAAACAAGCAAACAAACTAAGGAAGACAAGTAAAACAAACAAACCAACAAATAAAAATAATTTAATTTATATTACGTTAAAAATAAAAAAAAAAAAAAAACAAATTAAAAAATTGTTTAAGCCATATTTTATATATTAAAAAACCATATAATTTATGAAATATATAAATAGAGATTTAATTTTATTTTTTATATATACATATTCTATATTAAAAACAGAAATAGCATAGTATATCTAACAAATTATATAAAAAATAACAACATTTAAATTAATTACATTTAAGTGCAAATTATTTAATGAATTGATTAATTTTTCGTAAATATTTATAGGATTATATAGCAATTAAATCAGATTAAAAAAAAACACACATTTAAAGCAAACATGCAGACATATACATATGCTAGTAATATGGCAATAACATAACGTGACAAATGTTTGTGCGTAAACCTCTAGTATTCAATCAAAAAAAAATGAATATAAAACAGAGAATTAAATGTGGAAATGAAAATGACAATTGAATTCAATTAAATGAAAATAAAATGAATAAAAACACAAAATGTGAAAACAAACAAAACAATGAAAACACACAACAAACATATTATTCCAAAAATTAAATAAAGAATACTTAAAAAAAAATGAAAATACAATATTTTTTTTATTATTATTGTTATGGAAATCAATATCACGTAAGTATTTTCTGGGATTTGGGGGGTTTAAATTAAAAAGGTTACAAATACAAATGTCATGTGTTTGATTGCGCCTCAAAGTATGCTCTGGAATTTCTCCAAATACATTAAAGCCAAAACAGGTAACACTGGCAACGGCATGATTATAGCGCCATCTATTGAATCACATGATCGAAATCAGGTCAGCAAAATTTTGAAAATGTGAAAAATGGAAGGTTTTTAACAGTGGAACCCCCTTTGAATGACCAAACGACTTCTTTTACAGTGGAACCCCCCTTTGAATTAATAACCGATTTTTTTACAGTAGAACCCCATTTGAATGAATATCCGACTTTTTACAGTGGAACCCCCATT